ATTTCCTTAGAAGTTGTTGAAGGATATCACAATCAATAAAAATTCTATTACTTTCAAGACTCTCCTACCATAATAAAACAAAAGGATTATTGAGGAATCTGATCTTTTGAGTAATAGAAGATGTATATCAGTAAAATTCCTTTAACTAAATATGGCTGTTGAAAGATATTATACCAAAACAATATGACCTAGTTCCTACTTGATTACATAAGAACCTGAGGTCTATTATAAGCCATCTTTCTATCATAGGTAGATAAAAAATTACTACCTAAAAAAAGTTGTATCTTGAAACTAAAGGCTTTTACTAGGTGATAAGTTTTTTCAGATAATTTACAAGAAGAAAATCAAAATCAAGAATGGATAAGTTTCTCAGATAGTTAAAAAAAGAAAGAATATTTCAATCAGACATTTCTTATTAAGAAAAAATTTTGAAAAGCAGGTCTTTGAAGAAAGCTAAAAATCTTTTTTTCAATTTTTTTCTTTTTATTTTCTTGTTGTCTATTTAGATATTTTTAGATATCCCTCTTTTTCTTTTTTTCAACACATCCTTTTGTAGTTTTTTGTATTCTAGTGGCTTGATAAGACATACAACAGTGACAATCTGTTAGCAATAATATAGTGGACTAAAAGAGTTTTCACCCAAAGATACTGTAAAGTAAAATATTATTCCCAAGATTAAATTTAAAAACTTTTATGCTTATAACAAGTTAGTTAGATTGGAATAATAGTTTGGTTATAATATATATTATGCTCCTTGAATAAAAATATATTTATGTTTTTAATTGATTAATAAATCAATGATCTAGCCTGATTACAGGTATTTTTTAAAAAAAAAAAAGTAAAAATTATATATTATTGATTATTTTTTAAAAAATTTAATTTTAAATTTAAAGTTTTAAAAAAATTTTTAATTAAATAATTTTTATATATAATTGATTTTTAAATTTTTTAAAATAAATTTAATAAACTTAAATAGAAAATAATTATTAGATTATATATATATATTTTAAAATAACTTTAAAAATTAATAAAAATATAATATAACTTAATAATTTGTAATATTAAAAATTATAAAAAATTACTTAAATTAAAATTTAAATCTTTTTATATTGATGTCAAAATATTTGATATATTTTAATAAGATAATTATTAAAAATTTTTTAATTTTGAATTTTCACTTTAAGGCCTTTAAAAATTTTTTTAAAAAAATGATTATTTTATTATTACAATATAAGATCAATATTTTAAATATAATTTTTTAATAAAACAATTATTTTTATAAAAATTTTTAAGTATATTAAAGTCAAAATTCAAAATTGAAATTCTTAATAATTAACTTTAAAATATATTAAATTTTTTGATAACAAGATAAAAAGATTTAAATATTATTATAGTAAATTTTTAAAGAATTTAGATTTTATTAATTATTAAGTTATTTTATATTTTCATTGTTTATAATGGTTGATAATAATAAGACTAATAATAAATTATCAATAAACATCTTGAATACAAAATTTTACAAGAATTTCATATTGATTCATTATTATGAAAGATAACAAAATGATAACTTAGTATTGAAAATTTCAAGAATTCAAATCTCAATGTCAACAGATACTTTAATAAGAATATTAAAATTGCAGATAGATAGAAAACTTATAATAGGTGCGACCAATCATATGAATAATTAAAATAGGCAAAAGCATGCAAGAATTGAACCAAAGAGGATTGGAAATAAGTTTTATGAACTAACAAATTAACTATAAGTATTGACTTAAATAGAAAGGTTCGAGTTTGATGTCATAAATATAAACTTTATAATCCAGACCTACACCGAATGGAGCTGAGTATGAGAATCTTATTATAGACGTTATTTATCCAATAATTTTAACTATAGAGAAGGGAATATTGCAAGAAGATAACGGCATCCTTCATATGAATTCGCGAAACAACAAAAATAAGCATATTCGGAATGTAGTACACAGTAAATGAATGTCTGTTTTGCAATAATTTTCTAGTTGCAGGGAAATGACATTTTCATTTGATCTTATTAATGGCATAGAAAAGATGTTGCTATACATGATAGTGCGAGGGTTTATGATAGTCAAAGTGATTTTTAACTCCGGCGTTCCAAAATTTTTTGTTTTGAAGAATAAATTGGTTTATATAAAAAGTGTGCGAAATAAAACCATACACATTTGTAATAGGATAAAACAACTTACTCTTTCTTAGTCCAACACCAAAAGCGTGAAAGGAATTTTTGCGGCTTCATCAGAACTTCTCAGGAATAAATTCCCTGGATAAGATTTATTGTATCCGCAGGAAGTGTCGAACCACCAATCTCATCAGGATCATTATTTTTGGGAATATAAAACGTAAAATAAATCTCATAATACAGTATGCGCGAGATTTACGTCAAACGTTAACAAAATTCTCTTTTAACTTTTAGATTATGAGAAAGGTAGTAAGCTAAAAAACAGCTAGTGTTTGATGACTGAGTAATAGAAAACAAAAAAATACTGGGGTGCTATTAGATTTACTACCCGTCATAACTTAAATGAAGTTGCCGCGATTTTTTCGATATACTATATTACAAACATTACTTCTCAACCGATATGTTTGGCTTTTCTATTTCTGGGTATATCCTCTAAATCCCGGGAGGTTTCTTTTGAACTTTGGAATATAACATAAAATATACGACGGACATGCTATCGCTTCTAAAAATGTATTGCCTTCATGATACTTCAGATACGATCTCGTTATTAGTCGATAAACTATTATAATAGCTGATCATCGAATGTGCTGGTTTTCTAGTGGCTATAAAAATATTGAATCTATAAAATATCTTTTTGTCCATTTAGAGAATTCCAACACGGCATCTTCCCTAAGTTGTTCCAGATAATTATCTATTTCATCAAACACTTCCTGAATATTGTGCACGAACGTATGTACTTGATATCGATTGTCTTAAACAGTTCTTTCTCAGTTTTTCTAATTTATGTTACAGATGACACCCGCCTCTAGCGCTCCAATTTCTCGAAGACCTTCATTATCTGCTTCATTATGTCATAGAAGTTGTTATGAGTTGATGATTTGTCGTTTTATTAATTAAACCTTCGTTACAAGGCCAGATAATTCCCGAATAGATTTCGCATATATCACCATATTTCTCTCGAGGTTGGCTTGGCCATACACTGATACCGCCATATATTTAAAAGAGGTTACCAATTAAGGGGAGTGATTGGTCCTGGGAAAGGGGTAATGTAGATGATTTGTCTGCATTATCGTGTGATAAACTTTATTTTCCAAGGAGCATATTATAGAGATTTTTGTTGACTTTAACAGAAATCTCCTTTTTACCTTTCACGTCACTTCATTATTCGGCCAATCAAAATGGCCTTTAATACTCGGCATTTGTATTTAACTTGTCAGTACCACAAAAATTCGTAAATCTGTATTTTAGATAAGCAATGTCTCAACCCTTTGTGTGTTTCCCTTCGAGAAGATCAGTTGTTTATGGTACTCATGCAATGGTGGCAAGCACGTACAGTATAGCTACAATACATTTTAATTAACTTTGTGAGATTATGATTAATATGCTCGCCGAACGTTATAGTCAGCCGCTGGCATGTCAAGCTGGGTTAGACATATTAAAGAAAGGCGGGAATGCTGCTGTAATAAATTCGCGTTATTCCCTTGGTTTAATTTCCTATGATATTATTTTATGTCTTTTTTTTAATCCTGCTTTATCCCATTTAAAGGATGCAACCGTTGCAGTAGGTATGCGGACGTTCCAAACTGACCAATTAAAATAATTATCAATACAAAATAATTGTCACATTAATTATCCTGTCTCAACACACTTCAGCGGCGGTTTTAAACGTTACTGGCAAGTTGTCAAATATTTGAGCATGATACATTGCTTTTGAAAAAAATTATGACAAGATCATTTTAATAATAATAATAATAATAAAAGAACCATCGTCAACCGGAATTGGAGGAGATTGTTTTTGTCTTTACTATGATGCCAAGACAAAAAAGATCAGTGCATTAAATGGATCCGGACGGTAGGACCTTCGTTAGCGAATTAATGAGAAAAGTTCGCTTCGTAACTTTAACCAAACTCGATTTTAGATCACCCGCAAGGCTTACTTTAGATTATGTTCGCAATACTCTTGAAATTGTCGAGGATAACATACCAATAACTAACATTAACGCAGCAACGGTTCCTGGCGCTGCAGCGGGTTGGGTTGATACCGTTAATCTATTCGGGAGTGGTAAATTGAGCCTTATTGAAATCTTGCAGCCTGCGATTGATTTGGCAGAACGAGGATTCCCGGTCTCCGAGATAAGCTCTTTTATGGTTTGCATCGCGTGCCACTGGAACGATTTCTTTTCTCTCCATTAGAGAACTAATCGATTGTCTGTAACAGTGGAAAAATGGGCAAGATCTCTTATTACTAAATGGGAGAGATATGTTACTCAATGGGCGTGCACCAGAAACCGGAGAGATAATGTTCTTGCCGAATCTGGCCAGGTATATAGTCATTTTTTCCGAGACGAGTGTTTTTTAATGGAAAGTTATTATACTCCTTTTTTTTTTTAAAAAAAAAAAAAAAAAGAACATTTCGAGAATTGGCGGAGAAAGGCCGCGATGGATTTTATAAAGGTCGGGATCCTATGGAAACAATTCCTTTTTGCTATTATATGGATTTCAATGATTACTAGGAATTTGGTTTGATATAAAGGTCGAATTGCTCAAGCAATTGTCGACCTGGTTCACTCCCTGGGTGGTGTTATGACTTTGGAAGACCTGGCTTCGCATTCTAGCACACTCGTGGATCCTATAAGCATTAATTATAAAGGTTTTACTATTTGGGAATGCCCTCCAAATGGACAAGGTTGATGAAATGATTATTTTTAAGGCAACTCAAAAGTCAACTGAAAATAAAATTACAAATAATGCATATTGTGTTATTTCCTATAAAGGAATCACTGCCCTAATGGCTCTAGGAATCTTGGAGAGCCTACAGGAAAGCGGTAAGATCAGGGACCTTGGAAACATGAAGCATAACTCAGCGGAATATCTGCATGCTGTGATCGAGAGCTTGCGCTTGGCATTTGAGGATTCAAAGTTTTACGTTGCTGATCCGGAAGTTTATCCCACTCCTGTAAAGGGACTTTTGTCAAAGGTTTGTTTGCTTAATATCTTTAAGCTTGTGAAAAAATATTAACTTTGTTACCCCGCGAACTAGGATTATCTCGCAAAACGTGCAGATATTTTCGACCCAAATATCGCAAAAGTTGATGTTGAGAAGGGATCACCTGAGAACTCGTGTGATACGGTTTATTTTTCTGTAGTTGACAAAGAAGGGAACGCTTGTAGTTTTATAGTAAGAAAATTTTGTCATATTCTCTGTAATTAACACGTAATAACTTCCTTTCACTCTTATTTCAGAATTCAAACTATCTTGGTTTTGGAACTGTAAGAGTAAATTATAATTTAAATAATTCGATAACAAGATTTAGAATGTGTAAAAATTTTTTATTAGGGGGCGGTTCCTGCGGGTTGTGGTTTTTCCTTGCACGGACGCGGAGCCGGATTTGCTTTAAAAGAAGGCCACCCAAACTGCCTGGAACCGAATAAGAGGCCATATCACACGATCATTCCTTCATTAGTTACCAGAAAGCAGGAATTGTGGCTGACATTTGGTGGCAAGTTGTCTACTTTATTTACAAATGAGATGATGATATTTTTTCATTAAGTAATATGTTTATGAAATATATGTATATATATGCATGTTCAAAAGTGATGGGGGCTTACATGCAGGTATTGTATATTGAATTTACTTGGAAATCGCAAAATATTGTTATGGTTTTTCATGGCAAAGATTTCTCCTCACCACTATATATGCATAGCCTCAAGGTCATGTGCAGGTTCTCCTCAATATGATTCATCATCAGTTTAATCCTCAAGTTGCCCTCGACGCCCCGAGAATTATGATCGAACCATTTAATCCAAAAGAAAGGGATGAAAGTCTGAGATCTCATTCATTGGTGTATATCGAGGAAGGCATTGATGAAAATGTTATTGAAGAGCTGCAAAAAATGGGGCACAAGGTAAAGGTGATTAAAGAGTGGAAAAGATTTATATTTGGAAGAGGTCAAATAATTGAAAGAAGGATTGACAAAAAGACTGGAATTAGAGTATGGTGCGGTGGTAGCGACTTGAGAGGTGACGGGCAGGCAGTTGGATGGTAATCACAAGATTACCACAGAAAAAATTCAATTTCATGCAATGCAATGCAAAAATTTTATTATTTGTGAATATTATCGAGTACTTTTTATTTCTAGTTAGTATTTATATTTGAGATAATTAAAAGTTCTATTTTCGCTTTATATAAAGTTTATCATGATTTTGGTATTCTGAAATATGATAGTTAAAACCTATCAGTATATGTGTAAAATACTGTATATTTAATAGTTAGTAATTTAAATATTATTAATTACAATTTATATTAAAAAAATCTAGATTTGAATCGCAACTGATATTAGGTGCAAGTTCTTTACTAATAATTAACTTAACATATGGCAAATAATTTAATTTTCAGCATAACATTAATTATTTTATATATAATATTTCTATATACAGCCAAATTAATAATAACCTATTATGATTGTTCTAGGTAGATCTAGTAGTCACTTCATGAGTAAGTGAATTTGATTAAGAATTAGATAGTTAATATATAGTCATTAATAGCATGATTGATATAGTTAATCTAAAACTATATACTAGTTTAATTTATTATATTATACAGTATATACTAACTTACATATTTGAAACTCAAATCCTCAAAAATTAATTAACTAATTGGATACTTTAATATTTTTTATTTAAACCTTAAAAAAAATTTAAAATTTTTTTATTACTTATAATATTACAAGTAAGTTCTATTTAATAGATTCATTATTTAAGCAAATATTAATTGAAATATGCCAAGTTAGAATAATTGAATTTTAGAATCTATCATTATAATTTTGTGATAGAAATATTTAAACAAGAAATATAATTCTAAAAGTAAATTCCTAGAATTTACTAATATAATAAAAATTAATAATATATATTAATCAATTAAATTAAAAGTTTTATTTTAACTTAATTTGAATATAATTTAAATAATTAGACATAATTTTTATAAGATATTTAATAAATATAATCAAAAAATAATTTTTGTAATTTTATATAATATTAATTTTAAAATCTTATGATTGATAATATGAAAGTACTATTGTTATACTATTGATTAATAAGTTTTAAAATCAATTTTTTAAAGTAATTTAGAATATTTATAATTATTATTAATTCTTTTTTATAATAAAATTTAAAACTCTTTTTACTAATTTTTTAACCTCATACAAAAAAGATGTCCACAAGAAATTTTTTACTTTTTTGCTAATAAAGTCTTAATATTTTCCTTAAAAAAACTTGAAGTTTGACTTTAAAAATCATTTCTGCCCTTCTCTATTGAACCTCTTCACTCAAAAACTTAATTTCCAATAGTCAAGAAAAATCAAGTACTGTAATATCTTTGATATAAATAGCAAAAAAGTTCTTAAAAGAAAAAGAACTGACTATGAAGTATTTAAAAACCCTTCTAATCTTTGAAGTGGGAGATTTATATTTTCAATTTATTAATAAAATATGATTTAGCTTTGCTACAAGTACTCAAAAAAATTTAATTCTTTTTTTATATAATTCAAATAATTTATAAAAAATATAATATTTTATTAAATTATATTATATATAAATTAATTAAACTTCTATAAATCATATTTATTTTAGTTAATATATACTACCTGGACAAAAGTTTCACATATCATTTATTTATTAATTACATAAAATTTTACATAATAATTCTATTTAAAATTTTAGTATATTATATTTTATATAATAAAATATCTATATATAAATTAATATTCTGTTACTATCTGTTATTCTTAATAACTGCTTCTATTCTTTATGTTATATTTTCTATATAATTCATTAATTTATTTTTGAAATTTTATTCCATTCTTCTTGTAATATAGTTTTTAATTTTTTAAGATTTTTATATTTTTTGATCCATTTCTTATTTTTCTTTTTAATTTAGATCACAAATGTTTAATTAGATTTAAATTATAAGATTGACTTGATCAATTAAATAAAATCTTAATTTTATTTTCTAAAATCTATTGTTAAACATTTTTAGCAATATGAATTGAAACATTATCATTTTGAAACAAATATTCCTTATAATTAAAATTATTATTAATTAAAGATAATAAATATTTTTCAAGTATTTTGATATAATCTAATCTATTTAATTTATCGCTAATCCTCTGACCACACACAAAAAAGATGTTCGCAAGAAGTTTTTATACTTCTTTACTAATAAAGTCTTAATACTTTCCTTA